ATTGATTTATTGATTCGACTCCATAATGACTGGTGATGTCTAATGATCTCGAATCTCGATTAATGAACGATGTGCGATTTGTGAACGTTTTTAGCTATCAATTCTTTACTATGCATAAATAAATGGACGTAAGCTCAATCAAAGCTGTGTTCTTCGAGATACTTCAAGTTACTAAGTGTCATACGAGGTTGATAGGTGGAACGTTTATTGAATTGGCATAACGTTTCGAAGCTCGTTCGACCCGCTACTCACACCTTTGTCCGCAAACCCCGCCTTCCGCGTCGTTGCCACGTGGCGCTGCTTGAAAAGCGCGGGCGCATTGCGGCAGCGGTTGCATTGCGGCCAATGTCATTGGCACTGGAGCAACTGGAGCTAGGTTCGTGAAACTCGTCCAACACGCCCCTTCTCTATCCCAAGCGGCTGAAGAAAAAGGTTCCTAGGGCGTAATCGGGGTTTCGTTTGCTTTCCTTCTCTTTTCCAGACCACCTCCCACCTCTAGCTTCATAACTGAACGCTTTTCCACACCTATTTTATCCCGAATCTTGCCTTTAAAGGAGGATTGCACGGAAAGAACGAAGGTCGAAGAAGGGAGAAATCGCCTAGTGGGGAGAGCGGTGAATCTCTTGAGGGTGCGGACAGACACGCAATCGGCATCGAAAGATTTGACCTCGGCGACCTAGCATGGCTCAAAGTTGGCGTTCGGCGATCTCCGCCCACCGATCATCTGATCACTCGCCGTAGTTCAATACGTGGCGAGTGATTAGATAGCTGAGAGAGCGTAGTGTTGAAGAGGGCACAGCGATGAGAGTCGCATCAATGCTCAAATCAACGGGCAAGGAAGGGGTCCCATTTCTCGGGTTCTGGGCCGTTTCTCATGGTTTCGCCTTCTTTCTGTGTACCACTCACCATCTCTACCTTAATTTGGAAATGGGTTGCTTTTCCATCGTAAATTCGTCCTTTAAAGGCAAGTTCGGGATTTCTGGCGAAATTTAGGTTTTCCCCGTCAAATATGCAGCAGTACGCAAGGGCAGACCATGTGCAGAAGTGGCGGGGCGATTTGACAAGGTTTAGGCGCTAGGAGCCTAGGTTGGAGCATTGGCGCCGCCCCAACCCCATTGAGCCCGCCCACTGTTCCACGCGACCTTCCAAACAACCACATGGAACACTAGATGTTAAGTTGTTGTTTGGAAGGTCGTAGAGGAATATTTAGCGGATTTCAACTGCGAAAACCAACATCAAAGCCTATGTTAAGACCATTATCGAGAACCTAGTCATTCATTCTAGTGATAATCAAATTTTTGAGATAGGAAAAAAAAAACAAAAAAAGCACAGGTAAATAGAAAAAATAGCGAAATTAGAAGCAATCAGTTTTCATTGCTGACTTTTTGTAGCCGTGTCGGTTTGCTGGCATAAAGCCAATAGTAAAACCAATAGCGTAAAGCAAAAGGCTCGTATTTCCTGTGTATTTCACGGTCTTTTTGTCCATGCGGTCCACTATCTACCCCTACCCAGGGTCAACCGTTACGTTGGACCGATATTGGAGCGACGTTGGACCGATGTTCACCGCTCTCCGCGCCGGCATTCACTCTCGCCACCCGCGAGCCGTCTGTGTCTCCGTGCGTACGTTCACTCTCGGCATTACTCTCGTCGTCGCGTTGGACTTTGTCCAACGGACGGTTGACCCTGCCCCTACCTTCACATCTGAGCGGAATTACCTCATAATTTGACCATGAATCATGCCTTTAGATGGGATGGTGGCGGTCACTCCGGAAATTTTTCATAATCATAAAATCCTAGTTATTCCGATGACTGCGTTCAAAAAAAGTGATCAAAGCACTTTTATACGCACGCGATTTTTTACAACCACATGGTACTGCATTCTTCTACTGATCCACTCCTTACAAGAACTGGTCTGACTAAAGTTCTAGGTGAATAGTGGCGCGTAAACCTGAAAACGTTGCTAACACCCCAGGATACCAATACCCAAAACCCAAGAGTTCGATAAGGCCTCCGAAAGAAATCGTTATCTTTCCTGATCAAGATCACCCTAGAAATCACGCAATAACGAGTTATGGTGGTCACGTGAAACAAGTCACGCGAATCAATTTATCATCAAGTGTTAGCGACGTTCCCGTTTGTTCAAAAAAAGTGCTACAGTAGGTCTTGCTCGTTCGCGGAACATCATTCATTACTTCCGTGATTCTCTGATCATCGGAGTGGTGGTCGTCCCGGTGTTCGTCTCGAGGGGTCCAGACTGTGAACGCTCTGCAATTACACAGTCCTTCACGTGCCAGGTTTACCTGGTGTTCAATACCTTGGCGGAGACAGCAAATCTTTTACTACTGACGGAGACTAGAGCCTTGGATCCCCATCTGACTTGCGTTTCCGATAACTTCAAGCATCTCTCTCCGTACAACGCATTGGATACTACCGCATGCTGATAACTCCTGCGCCAAGTACAATTTTGTGATGCGTAGTGTAGGGAGGAGAAGCCTCAGATTTGAGGAGCTCCTTATACCGCTCGCTTTCTCTCCTCGGCTCTGTTACATACTACCTCTTTGATATTCTACCTGGAATCGCGCTACGTAGCCTCGTCATTATGTGACTGGAGATTCTTCAAATATGAGGGACCCTTACAAGAGAGGTCTTTCAGAACAATGGAGGCGGTTTCTTGAATGTTGTAGAGGCTTATGTGAGGAATACAGGATCACAGTCCATTTTACTGAACGCCCCAGGTATGTCAACACAGCGGGGAAGAAATGGTTGAAAGTTCGAGCCTCGATGACAAATTTTTGCAATTTATTATATGTTAGAGCCCCGCACGGCAAGCATGACAATGACACCTAATTCTCGACTATGGCGCCAGTTGGCGGCAGTCTGGGGGCCAAACTATTAGGTTGTCTCAGAAGTTCGTGCGTATTTTGAACTTCTTTTGAGCCTACTCTATTTCAAGCACATGCACTATCTATCATCAATATATGCTACCACCACTATCAGTGACTTGTTGCCAACATCCAACCAAGAGTGGCGCTTAACTCTCAAAGGCTGGCAGTTATGAGCTGAAAAAGGCAGTGAGGTCGATTTTGAGGTGCTAATGGGAATCGTATTTTTTGTCGTCAAGAAGGCGGCTGAGCAGAAAGGGCAGATGTCTTTCGAAAGAGGATGACTACCGCTGCACGATGAATGTGGTAGGACTTTTCAGCTGGCTTCGATATTCAGAATCGCTTCATTTCGAAATGTGTGGCCTCGGGTGTCGTGGAGCGTACACACTTTTTCGAGTTTTAGGGGCAGTGCTTGTCTCGACGTGAGTCTCTGTCGTTGATCACACTAGGCTTGGCTGACTTGAATGCTATAAGGAGGGAGATGTCTGTAGTGGTTACCTCGAGAACGCTTCAAAAAAGACAGAGCACGACCTTGTGGTATCTACTCCATTTTCCACCCACTTGTGTTCGATCCAGCCCCTGGAATTATGGATGTGGTTGTCATGATAGCTAAGCTTCTCAACTGCAGCAGTGGTTTGTTCATCCAGCGAGTACGGGTGGAGTAGGACACAAACAATAGACGCGACTCGTGTCGCACTCCTGTCATCAGTGGTCAATTAATGACGGAATCGTTGACAAAACTCCAACCCTTCTACGAAGGAGCCAAAAGCTCAGTGAACCGTGCATCTGAAAAACCAGGGTGTAGCGGCCACACAGCAGGTTACCACGTTTAGATTGGCTCCCACGAAAGAGCGCAGACTCTCTAAGTCCGGCACCGATGACCTTCCTGGGAGAGGATATTCTTCCAGAATGTAGACTTCTAAGTAAAGGAGATCCATCCATTCTGATACCTCACGGTTTTCAGTGACGAGGAGATGTATCTCAAAGCAAATGGTTTTTGCGGCTTTGATCGGATTGGCTCTGCAGAGGTCCCCTACTGGGAATGTTGCCTTGAAGAAGGGAATTGCAGAAGCAGTGACTACTAGAAGATACCTATTCACACATTTATCACCTCGCTTAGTGAGCTCGTGCATAGCGTGAAATCGATATCTCATTTTTAGAAGCAAGTTCTGTATTATTCGTTTTGTTGTGTCACTTCAATATATAATAAAAAGTTTATTGCAGTACAATACAACCCGTGATTTATTATTATGTGCACGAAATGAGATCTTCAGTCGCTAGCATGGCACAACAATATGGCACATATATCATAAAATTCCATAAATTATCAGTAGTATCAATTACTTACAAAAGTACAAGAATCACTGCCCTTCGGTAAGCTTATATATCTATTCTGTTAAGCAGAATTAGACTGCTAACAAAATCAACATGTACCAATTGAAAGTAGGAAAGCCGTAGTGATATGATAAAGTCCTGTTTCTGAACGAAATAACCGTCATAACCTTGTTATAGAAAGTAGGTATTACCGGAGGAATCTAAGAAACCTTTTAGAGTCTCTGTGGTCGGAGCGACTTCGCAGCAAATCTCTGAATCAAAATGGCATCACAGACATCTTTCTTCGGGCTCACTGCAGCGCCACGTGGGCTTTTCGGCCTCATGCGTGCTGAACTAGGGAGGGAAGAATAGTGTGGTAAGCCCCGTTCGCTGTGGTAGTACGTCTGGGTTATATCATATAGACTTTGGGATAAATTCAGGTTCCCAAATTTTCTACAAGCTCAGACACTACTGCTTTTCGTGCACGTCACATCAAAAGATTCATCGTTCAAGTCGAGTCATCTCAGATGAGCCATGCCTTCGAATTCGATGGAAATTCAAAAAAGCATTTAAATGCGTCTCCGGCTCTCAAACAAAACAGGGACCCTTTACTGCTAAAACGACAGAAGCGCTAAGCTTTGGCGGGTTCCGCTTTCCAAAGATGCTCAATATCGCCTACATCAGCAGTGATACCTCTGCCTCAGCCCTCCTCCGAAGCCAAAATTTAACCAGTTCTTGAACGCAAATGGTTTCAAATGTATCTTCGATCTCTTTTACCGAGGATTTTTCACAAACGGGCCTTCTTCAGCGGCATTCGCATTTCTGCGTCCGCTGAAGAAGTCGCCGAATCGTGGACCGAAAATTCTTGTTTAGGCACATGTAGATCACTGGATTAAAGCATGAATGAGTGTATCCAAGCCATGACGTCATCACGTAGAGATGTAGATGGACACGGATGTTGATGCGCAGCCCGAACCCCGTGGCGATGCCGCGGACACACTGACACAGAAGTACGGTATCCAGCAGATCAGGAACGCAACTGAAACACTATCAGATTAGATCCTCAGCTTGTTCGTCAACAATAATATTACAATCTCGTCAATTTTCGCTCGTGGAAATGGTTAAAGCAGGTATTAGTGATGTGGTCGATTCAAGATACGGGAGTGAATAAAAGTTTGAAAACTATATTTGAACGGCCATCAGGGAATGCAGTCGTCTCAAAATCACAAAATATCCAAAAAAATTGAAAACACCTGGTGGACACAATTTTCGGATTTTGAAGAATGCCCCTTGGTGGTGATGCAATTGTTGCCATCGCTCTGGGCGGCGCTGGCCGCCCCCTCCGAAGTTGCATGCGGCTTGCTGCACTACGTGATAAAATCAGCGGTTTGATTGCCGCGTATCGACTAATTTCACCTAAGGCACGGAGCAGCAATGGCCGGTGATGTCGAAAAACTCGTTTGACGTGGCCTCTCGTTCCCAGCCAAGCCTCCGTCACGCTAGAGCGGTAACGGGTATCGATTTCGGTCTAGTCGAATCTTTTCGTTATTTTCTCTTATTCCATTTCGCGTCTTTTACACTCAGTTTTATAATACCCCTCTTATTGAGCCCGATCCTTGCCTTTAAACCCTCTAACTCTTCAAACCTACCATCTTTCCTTGTCATTTCACTTCCGTCATGGTAGTGATGAGCCAGATAGTGCATGCGCCAAAGTCTCGCATTCATTAACAAACGACATGTCTAATTTTGGTGAAGTGGCAGAGAACACACAAATCCTCTGCAGAATCCAGCTCAGACGTCCGCGTCACACCACTATGGAAAACAAACCACCCACACAATGCCAAGCACCAGCACACGCCCTACAGATTACAAACGAGGGAGAACTTGATTCATCTTTCCACCGAGTTCTTTGCTGTAAATTCTTGTTTCACTCCTTCTAAGTGCCATTTATTCGAGTCATGCGGCGCCACACCCTGATAGGCGAATTGTATGTCTGGTGAAGTTCCAGTTCTGGGGGACCACTCCATTGTGCTCTCCATCACTGGATAACGAGAAGAGTTTTCATGACACGTGATCGTTTCATTGTAACTGTGTAGGTACGGTAAGTGTACTTCTGATAAGGACCGGTGTACTGTGGTAGTACTCCTATGCTGCTTCCAGATTTCGTCCTGCTGTGGACTGAACTAAGGTATAGACACCATTTTCTAGGCGCAAGAGTGTAGGAGCCTAGGGTGGGCGGTCACGTATGTACCACAAATTGTCTAGGATGTGAGCAGGATGCGCTAAATTAAGGACACCGGGCTCTCTCAGTGCACTTGCAATGAGTAGTTTCTGGACTGGAGCTTCACCGTATGGCCATTAATAAAAATTTATGGCTAGAGGCAAGTAAAAATAAGAACGGTAAAAGTGACATCAAAATTCCAGAATTTTGGAACGCTATTTTGAAGTGAACCTTATGTATGAAATGAAGTTCCGATTCTCATAAACATTGTTGCACATGATGTTTCACTCTGGAATTTACGTCATTTGTGCGATCCAGAAGAATTCGCCATGCATTACAAAAGCTAGGTTGATGTCAGAGAAGTTGTCAAGCTTATGACGGGCATTCACACATCAGCTGTAGATCAGCTGGTCTGAGCAATAATCGAGAGGGAAGTGGTAGGAGTTGATCGCGGGGTCATGAGAGGCCACCTTTGCCAGAGGGAATTGAGTCGCGAAGGAAGGTCTCAATGAAAGGGGTCCGTGTTCTATTGCAGTATTCTGCCGAACTCTGTTGTGAGTCCAGCGGTCCAGCGTTCCAGGGTTTCAGCTTCGTGGCCTTCTGGGAGGGACCTGTAGTGGCCTGTGAGAGGGGGGGGGGCTAGGCTCCGTATAGATCGTCTTAGTGGCTTGCTTAAGAGGGCCTTCATGGCAGTATAGGGAAAGCCTAAGTGGCTTTCTCTATACTGCCTTTGAAGAGAGCCCAGTGTTGGAAAGCCTTAGTGGCTTAGTCGAGGAAGCCTGTATGGCTGAATATTTGAGATCAGGTCGCACGCCCTGCACCCGCGCCGTGGACCCACATTCTCTGGTCGACTCCCGTCTTCACTCAAACCCAATCCGTCTCCTAGTTCGCAAAACATCTATTAATTGTTCATATTTGTTCATTTCGTTTGTTTAATAAACTTTTTTCGTACTGCTTGTCTCACACGCACAGTTGTAAGGGTTACTCCGCCGTCTTTTTGTACGAATCCACTATCATACAGTTCACAGAAAGTTCAGAAAACTCCTAGTCCCTACAGGAAGTGAAAACTTACTAAGAATCGCGGCCACAACTCGAGTGGCCCGTGATTCCCGGCGAATTGCCATTGATTCGCGACGCTTTCTCCGAATTGCACGCGTCACCTAGAACATAAAAAATATTTTTATTCAAAAGGAAACGATGTTTGCTTGTACTTCTAACATCGAAACCACCGTTCGAAACAAGTATTTTTTCCTTGACCATTCCAGTTGATCAAGAAAAAATGTAGCCGCTAATTGCCGCCTGATTCCGACAAGTGAAGCGAGCCATCCATTTGGGACGGAGTTTACGATCAAAAGGTAGCCTATTAGAATTAATTTAGAGGTGGGCTGTGGTGCAGGGGCGAAGGAAACATCATGAGGAACTGCATAGAAATGGGAAAAACAAATGCACGGAAACAAATGGCTACCGAAGCATCCACCAACCCACTAATATCGACTCTCTGTTAAACTCTGCGAACTATAATACTATGGTAACTCGACTCAAGTGCTCAGAAACATTACCTGTGTGGCAATCCTTCTAAGCTTCCCTCGACTGATCGCTGAAGCTTTCTTCTGTGGGGTGCCATTTGAACCGTTCACATTCATATCAACTGTGGCTTTCCGACCACTGCCTCCGACCTCTAGGACAGCATTCCGTAGCGTAGACCATGCCGATGATCGCCTGAAATGGTTCGACAGTTGTTTGAAATGCTACTTAGCCCTAGGTCGCGCACAATATGTCTCGAGTCGATCTTGTGCTCATCACCTAGATCGAATCCCGCTAAGGTCAGCCAGGCCATCCATCTTCAGAGTCGCGTTAAAGGCGGATCGATACATATGGAAGCTAGCTCATTGGAAGCAAGCATAGGTTTTCAGTGAAGCAGGGGTGAGGAAGAAACCATTTGTAACGGCCCGAAGCCCCATTAATGGTACCCTTCCCTTGCCCTTTTAGAGAGGGGCATGCCGATTTTTTAGAGATCAGCTGTAGATCAGCTTGTCTGAGCATTGTAGGCCGTGGAAGAGGCTTTAGCTCTTGATCGAGGGGAGTCATGATAGAGGGAAACCAATCGCGCAGTACCGTTCCAATAAAGTGGTTCGGACGCAAGGCCGGGATTGTATTTCCATTTTCAGTTCCAGTTCCAGAGCTCTGATGTTCTTGAATACCTGTATCCCAACGTTCCAGTGGCATCTGTGTGGTGCTTTATCGTTGAACTTGGTTGGTAGCTGTACGGCCCGTAGATCGTTTCAAAAGGAGACAAAGTGTGGGTGTAAAAAATTTTGACTCCACTAATTTTGTTCCTGCTGGAGAACAAAGCACTTTTTGCCCGCTCAGAAAAACAAAGCGGACCATTGCGCAGTCTACCAACAAAGGTTGAGAAGCTGTTGATGGCTGAACCCTGCATGACATCGTTTCCAGTAATTCGCCCGGGTCTCTGAACGGCCTTTTGACCCTAATCTAAAAATAGAATTTGTTGAACAGTACACTATTGTAATTGGGAAAAGTGGTGTCAATATACCAAAATAGCGGGCACTGCTGCCAAGCGGTATGAAAGTTGAGTATAAAGAAAAAGTTTGCTATGGCGACTTCCAAATAATCCTATGGAGGCTGTTTGGATAATTTAGCTGTTCCTATGACTGGAATGCTCAATGTATGGTAAACCTTCATTTCAACAAACTGAGAACATTCTGATATTTCTGCTTTCAAATTGAATTGCCTTTTTTGATTAACTCAAATGGTACACATGTTCGTTCCCACCGGACGGAAGTTAAAGAACTAACCTCGAATCTATCTCGAATGTCGAGTCCGTGTTGTCGGTGAGGCTGCTACCGTAACTGTTCATCGAAATCCGCCGAAAGGTATCACCGCTGCTGTCGGCCGATGTGTAGGATGAGTGACTGCTGTTCGACGGTACAGAACACGGTGATGGACACTCAAAGAGCCGCGGAACCTGAAGTTAAGAATTATTGGAGTCTCTGTGATTGGTTGATCGGCCCCCACTAGAACAGGAATGATATCAGACTCGGGCTCCCACTAGAACAGGAATGATAACAGACTCGTAAGTTTCTCGTTCCTCCGTACATTCCTCTTTACCTTCTATAGGATCTCATATGCATAAATTTTAGTCTACATATCGCCCATTTTGCCTCAATGGCATGCCCTTGGTTTCCTGAGAAGCTCTGAACTTAAAGCCACGAGTCAGGATTAGGTGACCATAGAAGGCCTTTCCATCACTAATATTTCCAGGAATGCGCTCAGAGGGGTGATGCCACACTCCTGACTCGAGATTGCGCGCCGTCAAGGCCTCTGGCCTACTACTTACAGCGATGGGTTCGTTTCATCAGCTGGTCCCGCCCACCGCGGGATGTGGTGCGTGGCTGGCCTAACGTGTGAGATCAGCTAGGTTGATTGCCGTATCAACCGATGGAACGGCTGGCATATCCGGAAAACTCGTTTGGACGTGGCTCTCCCCCGAGCAAGCCTCCTTCACTGCTAGAAGGGAAGGGGTTTCGATTTCGGTCTTGTCGACGGTTTCTTTGCGTTTTTTCTTCACTGTCGTTCCACCTCCCATCTCTACACTCAATTTCAGGCGCCATAATGCCCAAATGGGCGAATTCAATGCCCAAACGTAATGACCAAATTTAGTGCCCAAACACGAGCCTGACTCTTCCCTCTAAGTAGACGTCCCCAACGAATTTGGCGGCTTACTTTTCCTTTCACTAAATATTTTTAGTGTTATTCTTATATGGAAAGCGCAAAGTCTGTCGTTGTGTCACTTGTGTCCGTCACAAAACCCGGTACTACCTAAAGAACCACTTGCAGAGTCTTGGTCAAGTTTGGGATCCGTGGGGCATGGATAGTACAAAACACCTAACACAGCAGGCAGGACACGGCCAATTGGACGGTTCCGATGGCAAAAGCTTCGAGTTTAATTGTAGCACAGCTCAAAGACCAGAAAAAAAGAGTAGAGATGTGCACTGAGTTGTTATTCAAATTAGTGAGACCTGCTCGTCCGTGGTGGGTTGGGCGTCCTCTGAATGAAGGGAGCTCCAAAAATACTCATATTGGTGTAAAGAGAAAGCCTATAGAGTAGAAGAAAACTGCACATAGTTGGCAAAGCGTGCCTAGGTGGGCAGTGTTTAGTGCAAATTCGCACAATGCTAATCAGAGAAGTCCCGGAAACCGGCAAAAAGTGAATAGAGGTTAAAGGAGGAGGGCAGGTCAAATGCCAATTCAGCGTGGCGTGCATGGGGGCGTAGTTTGCCACCGTGCTAATAATTCTATCCCAAGAAGTCTTAGAGACCGAGAAAAAAGTGGTAAGAGTCTTACACGGAATCAAGGTTTAAAGGCGTGCATCAAAATGGGTTCTTGCTTTCCCACGAACGTTACGGCTCAGTGCCGAGAATGCTGAGAGAACGGGGAAAAGGTGTACAAAGGTTGGCGAAGGACATGAGACCAAATTCTACTGATGAGCGAAGCGTGCACTGAAGGCAGAGTTTGCCAGGACGCATTACAAAAATATCGATGGTCCTGTTTTATACCAGTAGAGTCCCATACGCTAATGCGTGCGCAGTAAAACCGGTATTATATTTACGGATATTATTTTAGGTTTATTTGCTATACTAGATTAATATTATACGGATTACAAACGCTCACGGTTCTATTGATAAATGCAAAATTACTTTTATCATTAATTGCCTTTTCTGTGAAGCTTTCGATTAAATTTACTGCTAACTTAGCCTTTTTGGCTCAGGTCGAACTAGTCATCTAACATAATTATGTACGCATTCAGAACGGCATTTTCTTCCAGGAAATTCTTTTCGCCATGACCCGGTGTCACCCTTCCTTACGCCTTAAAGCCGTACTGTGGGATAGAGAATTTGAATTGGCTTTGGTTTCAATGAGACAAGTTCAATACCTTCAATGTGCAGTGGGTGCTCTCGCGGATGTTCGGCGATTGTGGCGGAGTATTAATTGACATCATCGCTGGTACCATGAGAAATGTAGGTGGTGGTATGCATGAAAGTGGCCTAAAACACGACATTTTGCAGTTGTTGGATCAAGGATTGAACGTATTATCAACTCTCAGCCAACACACTTCTTCTGTTTATGATAGCACGGAACAAGAATTGAAGTAATTTATCAACTCTCAGCCAACACACTTCTTCTGTTTATGATAGCACGTAACAGAAAGCAACGGCTTCTGGCTGGCTTCGGCTGGGGGTGACTCATCCCTTAGAGCGAGCGCTGGCGGTACCACCTGAAAATCTTTCATTTGACGATTATGATGCATTTTTACCAACATATAATGAATAAAGAAATGGGTTACTAAATCAGTGAACAAGCGGGCGCTATCGCAGTATACGGGAATATGGTGCTGGCAGTGCGTTCAAAAACGCGAAAAACATGACCTTTCTGTTAGAATCAGGGCTAGGCCACAGGCGACAGAGGAAGCAGAAGAGTGAGCGTTTCGTTTTCTTCAAAGTTTCTTCACTCTCCTATCTTACGATTAGTCCTAGAGGATGAGCTCGTGTCTTGCGACAGCGCCAGTAAGAGTTTTGTGGAAGACTCAGTTGTGTATTTGAAGAACCATCTCTCAAAATTAGTAAAAGAAATCGCAAGATAATAGACGAAAGTGTCGCAAAATATCACAGAGGCCCGAATATCGCAGAAATGCCTCTGAGAATTTTGATGCATAATTTGCAGTGCGCCAGGTTAATGTTAATGTCCCTTAAGCCAGCGAATTAGTGTCTAAAGAGCCGTCCCAAAATGCGTATGCAACTAAGGTACTTAAGGAGAGGACCTGTGGAAAGTAGAAATAGGTCTGCGGAAGGGGAGTTTTGAGATGTGATTGTGCTAGTGAAAAGCGTTGGTGGAGGAAATGTGAAGTACTGAGAGACGATAGCAGTTAATATCTTTTGGCTATATCCCACCCTTACCCCTCCCCCGCTCCCCTCGATAGCGGTCTCTTGAAGCAGAAAGTGGGTGGAGTTTGGAGCGTATCCTAGATCTTAGAATCAAATGATAAATTTGCTTGTTAGATGCAGCGATGATGGTGAGTGTGATGGAAGGGGTTAGTGTATGTGGAGGACTCTAAGGCAGCGTCACAGATGGTGGGGCGTATTGAGAAGCTATTGAAAGGGGAGGGGTCCGGCGAAAAAATTCACCAGAACAAGTCCAAGATCTAGATTGACCTGACAGGAACTAGTGTTTTTTAGCCTCTCACAGTGAGATGGTTGGATGCAGGGTGAATAGCGGTCAAGGAAATCCTCGGCAAAGTGTCGAGAGTGAACGTACGTGCGGAAAGCACAGACGGCTCGCGCGTGGCGAAGATGAATGTCCGCGCGGGACAGCGTAAGTGTTCAGGCGAGAATCGTCGACCAGTAGTCAGCGAATACTCGACCGAATATCACCCTAGCTGGATTCGCGCAATCCATAATGAAATTTAAAATCCACTACACAACAGACACTAATCATAATACCTAGGAGTATTTGAAAATAAAAAAGCTGAAAAAAAGTGAAAAATGAAAAAGTCTTTGCAAGTACCATCGTTGATTCTGACAATGTGCTTTCAATCGCCGAATTCTCCGAAATTGTGCTCTCATTGTCGCAGACCGGACTCAAGTGTGTTCGAGAGCAATTATGAAGAGCTACAAGAAAAAGTGGTTCATTCAGTGTGTATCGAATATTTGGTTCTTCATCTGAGGTTTCGCATTATTGATTGGAGCACAAAAAAGCAGTCTAACGACAGCATGACGCGCTTTCTCGAGTTACTCAGTATTTTTAAGACAGAAGTTGTCCGTCAATATCATCGGATCAAAGGAATACTCTACCACTACCGTAACGATCATCATGGAGGAGAAAGGCGGGTTTTGAAAAAACATCAAAAAAAGATGCCACGAGGAGTACGCACAATGGGCTGTCGTCAACTTGGTAGCATTATACTTAGATAATCTTCACCGGTTAGGCTCATGGTTTACGCAATAGCGCATGTTGTGCCACGGGGACAGCAATATATGCTCCATAGATGAAGTATGACTATTCGGGTCGATTGATCCCTATTTTTTGTAGATCCTATTGAAACATATGCGTAGCTATGCTTGTTAAAGTGAAATTACCGATTTTTCTCGTTTTTAGGGCGAAGGATAATCTAAATCGGGAATACTTACAGAATTCGAAATCCTGTATGGATCTACGTCGACCACAGCGAACTTCTTGATAAGCCTAAATGAGAAAGCGATTGGATGTAGTAGACGAGGTAGTAAAGAGCATCTTACAGGTCCTAGCACGAAAGCGTCATATTAGTCTTATTGTCAGACTCAAAACAACCCATAACCTTTCATCTTGCCTATAGCAGATAGCAAGATAAAAGGCGGAGTTTACGATCAAAGCAGCCCATCGGAATCAAGGTAGATGTGTTCAGTGGTGTCGAGTTGAGGAAAAATTATGGAAAACGGCTCAAAACTCGAGAAAGCACTCCTTCTTACCCGCTGAGTTCCGCACCGATGCACGATACACTCATTGCGGTGTTTCCTCTTTAGGCCCAACGCTGTCTCCGCTAGAGATTGCGGCGAATGCTTAGCCAGTTGGTGGGCGTACTGCTCCGATAGCGCCACGGGTAGTGCCATGTGTGGTCGCTGGGTCCTATCCTTTGCTGTATAGCGTCTCATCGAAGGCACGGATCCCGATCAGATCCTCGAAGTGCTAAACTCTCGTGCGAGAAAGCAGGACCCCTATTCTTTGAGGTGGTGGTATTATTTGGTACTATTCTTACCAATGGCAGCATAGGTGGCGTCCGCGCACTCTCGCGTACGAATTCTTTCCCCTTTTTTCTCTGCTCGCAGCGCTGTGTCTCTTCATCACACCTAGTCGACCCAATCTTAGTGTTTATCTATGGAGCTTCTTTCTTTTGCTGACTAGGATTCCCTTTTCAAACTCCTTGTCGCGATTCCACTGCGACCCATGCCTTTAAATTTGAACCTCGTTTGTTCGCGAATATAGTTCAATAGGCTTAACACGCATTGATGCGGAACAAAAATTAAGCATAGCGAACATCTCAGCTCTAATTCAATATCCTCTCACTATGTATTGGCGTATAACGTACCTTCTGGAATGCCTGCATGATGGGTATTCCATTCGGATTCTCCTGAGTGCTTTTTCGTCGCCGATCGAGAATTTTCATCTTCCTCACCTCGCTCAGTTTCCGAACCTCTTCTTCGCTTTTCTTCCGTAGTGGATCTTCCTCGCTCTGCAGCTCCTCTTCACGAAGCCTTAACAAGGCAAAATTTACTATAAACGGGCCACGATTGGGCAGAAGAAAATGGGACAAAAAGCACGGGTTATACAAACGTCTCTCGGGTGAGAACAGTAGAATTGCGGACGTTTACTGTGGAAGAAAAAGCAAAACTCTACCGATTTACCGATGTAGGGTGAATATGGCGTAAGGTATTAGGTTAGAAATAGCGTGGGCTTCATGCCAACAATATTTCATTTCAGTTCTTGAACACTTTCACTTTTCTTGTTTTACAAAGTGCTGGCCTGTTATACATATGTTACATTGAGATGTCGTCATTTCTGAACTACTCTAAACGCCACGGTTATTGAACGGTGCGTTCAATTTTGACATCCGTCGCGCCGCATTGGGTGCGCAGTTACTATCGGCGAATTCTGACACCAGCCTTATACAAATAAACAGATGAAGTACTTAGGTGGTCGAGGTTTTTTGGATTCCTTGCATAGCTAGTGGCTGTAGCGCCTATATGCACCCAGTGAACGGAAGCTTCGGAAATGTCTTGTTGGCCATAAACGCTTACCTATAATCTTTTAAGCAGAAGAAAGGAAAACAAAAAAAGGAAATGGGAATTGTTGCATGTGGAACTTTCTACCAACCATAATTGCAATTGTGACACAGTTCGAACGCATGGACGAAACGGGATATACGAAGAGCCAAACACCGCGCAGACCCAACAAGACGTCTTAGCAGTTTCTCCTTTCAGTATAGCACTTCATGAATTTGTTCCTTTGGCTTTGTAACGAAAAATCATAGACGACAGTTACGTTTGATTTGTCAGTTACGACAAATCTAAAGGTTAAGCCCATAGCTGTATTTATTAAGTAACCGAGGCGTCACGTCTTGCAACCAGTCCAATCTTGACACCATATATGCCCTCCTCAATAAAACTGAGTCAACGACAACTCACTTATTTTGCTCGTGCTCTTCTCGTATTTGGTCCACACAGGCTATGCTGATGCTGATGTCCATTGAAGGAGGATCGGGTACGATTGACACACGTTTCTTTGCTGCCACACATCGATCATGAGCCAAGTGTTTCCGCACAAATCGTGGGACTCCGCCATCTAAAACAACCGCTTTTGAACAAGGAAACTCTTCGAAGGTTGGGGTACAGCAGCAATGGATCTTATTCGGATATGCACAATCTTATCCATCATGTGAGGACTGGAGTTCCTGAGCCAGAACGAGAAGTTTAGAACGAAAATGTTACCAAAAGGGTTGTTTCACTTGTTTTTGATTGTTAACTTGTTTTTGGCCGCAGTTCGCCTTGCGAATGTTTCACAAGAATGCTGGGTTGTGAACAAAACTTTCGCCCCAGGCGGGACTAGAACCCGCACCTCTCGCTTTCCGGGCAAGTGCGCTACCAGTTACGCTACCGGGGCACCATTTCATTCCAACTCAGCTTTTCATGGTATACGTACCATAGCTTGTCACAAGTATGCTGGGTTTGGACAAAACTTTCGCCCCAGGTGGAGACTAGAACCCGCACCTCTCTCTTTCCGGGCAAGACCGCTACCAGTTTTTTAAGATTGATTTTTCATTTCTACAGAACCTAATTGATTACAGAAGCCAAGCTCAGGCAACGTCAACGATCAGGTGAAGTTGCTCCATCCGCTAACACAATTTAAAGCCGCAACTGGCCACAAACACTCCCACCCCGCCTCCTATTGCCCCTACTACCCTAAGAGCCTAAGAATTTGTTTGCCCCAAATATGGCGATAAAAAGACTACTGTATGAGCATATAGCCTTTTTAGTGATGGCTTCCTATAGGAAATATTTGCCAAGCAGAATATTACCGTTGTGGAGGTTTTGGAATGCAGTGAATATCAGGTTGACTAGGTGATCGCTCCTTGGATCCACTCGATCGACGAGTTGGACTGCCACTTTGTGAACCCGACTGAGATAATCGAGAGCCACGTCGTGAACGTACCTGAAAAAAACGATGAACCTACGCAAAGTGACCGTGAGTGTATTAGCCATTAAGACGACTGAGTTACGTCAGAAGAAGCAACGCACCTCTTCGATAATGACCCGTGGTAGAGATTGCCGCTTGTCAGCATTCCTAGCTGCTGACTGTCCAAACATGAACAGCTGATGATTTCTGAGCTTTTTGAAGATTTTGATGTAGAGGTATACCACGATGGCACCCGGTAGGAAGAACGAAAGAAATGATGATAACACCTAAACAGAATCACAGCATTTCCTAGTGAGAATGGCACACTCGACAAATCAAGTACACTTCTCCGTAAACGATCTTCTTCTCATGTCAGTGATTTTTAGTTCATAGTCAACTGAACGCGGGCATAGCGTAGTGGGTTACGAGGCTTCGTGGGAGTCACACGGCCGTAAGGTTCAGACCCATGTTCTTCTACCATCATCATGCCTGTCGCATGGGCATGACAAACTACTCCACCCTTTAAAATTTTTGGTTGGAGCAAGGTGATGAAAAAACGCTAGCAAGTCAGTTGTAGACCGTAAGCGACAATGGGCATAGAAGCATAGAGGTAATAGCAGTGTATCTATGAAACCCTGCGCTTGCTCTTCGAGGATCCGAATTTACTCAATCCAGCTGAGCTTTTCAGTCCATTCCGGAACCTCTCATGCTGTGCTTCAAAAAATTGTCTGACCTTTGCAGCTCAAGTCAGCTCAGCTAAGGTCTTGTGGTAGACAAAGTTTCGATCTCTGTGCAGTAACGAACAGACTTTCATTTCATTTCCCTTGGAGAAAAACCGTAAAATTGCTTTTTTACAAAAATCGCTGCTCTTTTCATCCCCAGGGCCGCTCCATACCACACATGCAATTTCTGTGCTCCTTGTACGTGTCCTTACAATATGAAAAAACGTTTTGAAAAGTCCACACGTCCTGAGCGGGCCAACTCATATACTAAGCCACCTCCATAAAACACTTACTGGGGTTTCGCTAGTTCCGCTGCAAGGAATATAAACATCCTGAAAAAAATCGCTGGATCGCTGATCTTTTAGTGTCGAAAACCTTAAGGGGCGTCACACTAATGGACGGGCGTCTGAATTTTTTAGTAGGATTTCACCCGATCGCCTTGTCGTCAAATCTCCAGATCCACACGTGTAGAGTCTCTTCAGCGAGAAGGCCGAAAACAAATCAACCCAAGAACACAGCCCAAGCTACCTTGAAGGGTCAATGGTTCAGCGAGCCGTGACCTCATCCCGCGCCTTAGGATGCGGCAACTGCTGTATAGACCGTATGTATGAAAGTAGTTGTAGATCAATTCAGCTCCACAACTACTTTCATCAAAATAAATTTAGGCCGAGTTTACAGGTCTAATTCAAAAAAAACTCACTAATATATTGCGGATTGTCAATCCAACAAATGGAGGTGGAAAGCTGTTTTTGTTCCATGAACAACGTCGAACTGACCGCTAACGCCATAAG